ACTTCCAAACTTTGACTGACCAAATTCACCATGGACGTCAAACATTCAATATCTGATGTAGAAACCACTCGAATTAGGCATTCCTTGAGAATGTAGAAAACATCTCCGACACAACTTGATATGACGCTCCCTTCTTCATACTTGTCAATTTTCATGGCCTATTAAAATTACTTCGATTAACTAATAACGAAAAAAAAAATAATAGTTTAAACAATAGAATCAAAGTGTCGTTATTACCTTTTCAATAGCTTTCCTGAAGAAATACTCCTCCATGACAAGGAAATCTGCCATCAAGGACTTTGCCTGTTTTGCCAGACCGCTGTTTTTTATTATCTCTATTGGGTCATAATTATTCGCATCTTTCTCTGCCAAAGTGTTATTTTCTTTATTTTCTCCCATTTCTTCGATCTCCGACTAAAATCCATACCGAGAAAATGATGATTTCCACTATTGTTAACATAAATATACGTGCATACTAGTACGATGATATATTTTTGGTCACATATATAAACAAGAATTTGTGCTGACCCTTGCACTAGCTTCCATAAATCGATAATAAAGATGAGTCCTTGCACTAATCATGGCCAACTCATTTAACACAACATCGAGTTCCCTAGGATCTGGTGTACTGTCGACTTCTCTCGATTGTCCAGGACGTTGAGGACCAAGAGGTTTTTTAGGGGCGGCATTATACATTTTAATATCAGATACCTAAAAAAAAAAAATCGTAAAACGTTCATAAACGAATAAATCATCAAAGGTATGCATTCATACGGAAAATTTGAAACAAAACCTTCCGATGAACTTGTTTTTCATCGTAAAAAGTATCCAATATTATTCGACTTTGTTTATCACATTCTTCTTGAAGTCTTTCTATTACTCTGATCATCTTTCCAGGTCCATAATGTGTCTTAACTACTGGCTGATGTTGACTGATAATTGTAGCGATATTTTCGTATAACTTGAGAAGTGCGTATCCATAAAAATTAGGCCCAATCGCTGAGTATATGAAAAATTGAATCGAAATCTTCAGTTGCCATATTTCCTACTTTATGAAAAACGTGCTTCTGTATAAAAGGGACTCATACCAATTTCTGCCAAGTTTGCTTGACTCTTTCCAGCAATAATACCACAGACAAATTTGGAATACTTATCCAAACCTTCTGTTTCTTTTCCGATTAACGGAAACAATCTGAAAAATCTACTTATATTAGCCTCATTCCTAGCTTGAACTGCCGC